GAGGAGGGTTTGCCATGGCCATCCTCTGAGGCTGAGAGAGTGTGACTTTGCCTGAGGTTACCCAGTGGGTTTCCATGACCAAGCCAAGATTAGAATCCTGGTCTCCCAGTGTCCTAGTCCAATATGCAAACCATTGCACCCTATCATGGGGATTTCTTGGCAAGTTTCTCCAGGCCCCCCCCCCCCCACCTCCATGGCCATCCTCTTGAGGCTGAGAGAGTGGTTTGCCGGAGGTCACCGAGTGGGTTTTTATGCTTGAGCAGTAAATTGAATTCTAATCTCCAGAGTCCAACACTTAAACCACTACACTGGCTCTTATAGAGTGCTGCCTCCCCTTTAAAAATAAAAACAGTGTGCATAATATTTCCACACATGTTGATTTTGGGCATCCTAGGTAAGTTTGTTGTTGTCTGCCTCTAAGTCATTTTTGACTTATGGCGACCCTAAGGCGACCTTGACATGGGGTTTTCTTGGCAAGTTCCTTCAGAGAAGGTTTGTCATTGCCTTCCCCTGAGGCTGAGAGAGTGTGACTTGCCCCAGGTCACCCAGTGGGCTTTTATGCTCAAGTGAGGAATTGAACCCTGATCTCTAGAGTCGTAGTCTAGTGCTGAAACCACTACATCACACTTGCTCTTACTGGAGGAAACTGCATTATTTGTACAGTTTAGGCACACTCAGGGTCTTTCTCTAGTAATCTCTATGCTAGGGAATAGTTACCTACAGTAGTTAGTTTTCATTGTTGTGTACCTTCAAGTCATTTCCAATTTATGGTAACCCTAACGCAACCCTATCATGGGGTTTTCTTGGCAAGTTCCTTCAGAGGAGATTTGTCATTGCCTTCCCCTGAGGGTGAGAGAGTGTGACATGCCCAAGGTCATCCAATGGGTTTCCATGGCCTTGCGGGGATTTGAACTCAGGTCTCCCAGTGTCCTAGTCGAATGCTCAAACCGCTACCCCACACTGTCTCTCAGTGATGCTGGTTTGCATTACTGTTGTAATTTAAGATTGTAATTTTCCTTAATGTAAACTGCCCTCAGCGATACAATCATTCAGAAAAGCAGGGCAATACATCTTTAGAATGAATGAGGGTGCATCTGTAGGACAGAAATAACACAGTTTGACACCACTTTAACTGCCATGGTTCCAACCTCCAGAATCCTGGGATGTGTCATTTTGTCAGGTACCAGCACTTGTTGACAGAGAAGGCAAAAGACCTTGTAAAACTACAGATCCAAGTGTTCCTTGGGATGGAGCTGCAGCACTTGGTATCAAGCTGTAGTATTCCTACGTTGCAGTTGCACTCGAGGTTTTCTAGTTACCTCTAGGGACTACTTACCGGTACTTAATTTGTTATTGTTGTTCTGTGCCTTCAAGTCATTTCTGACTTATGGTAACCTTAAGGCTTGGGTTTTTCATTTCTGACTTATGGTAACCCAAAGGCTTGGGTATCATGGGGTTTTCTTGGCATGATTTATTCAGAGGGGATTTGCCATGGTCATCCTCTGAGGCTGAGAGAGTGTGACTTGGCCAAGGTCATCCAGCGGGTTTCATGATACAGTGTGTGTGATACTTCCACACATGTTGGTCCTCGTCGTGCTTGGCAGGTTTACTCAGGAGTAAACCGACCTCCCAGTTTAATCCAGCCTACCTTTCCAGGTAGGAGCGCAGAGGTTCTCAACTGGCATTCCTCAATTGGATGAAAATTGTGCACCTGAGGAAGTAGACTTTACTCTTTGAAAGCTCATGCTGCCAATTTCTTTCTTTCAGTTAGTCTTGAAAGCTATGTTAATGATGGTTTTGTACTCATGGTTTGTGCTTACTCATTATAAATGGGCTTTGAAGAGAAGGTTAGTTCTTAGAACCATCCTGGTTGTGAACTTGACACGATCACTTTATGAATAGGTAACTAGCCAATGTGGTGTAGTGGTTTGAGCATTGGACTATGACTGTGGAGAGCAGGGTTCGAATCCCCACTCAGCCATGGAAACATACTGAGTGACCTTAGGCAAAGTCACACTCTCTCAGCATCAGAAGGAAGCAAAGGCAAACCTCTCTCTGAACAAATGTTGTCAAGAAAACACTTAATGACTTGAAGACATACAACAACAACTAGTACCTGGAGGCAACTAGAGGAAGACCACATTATAGTTGTTGTTGTTGTCTGCCTCATGTCATTTCCAACTTGTGGCAAGGATATTTAGGTAAATCTATCATGGAGTTTTCATGGCACTATTTGTTCAGAGGTGGTTTGCCATTGCCTTCTTCTGAGGCAGAGATAGTGTGACTTGCCCAAGATCACCCTTTGGGTTTCCATGGCTGAGCGGGGATTCAAATGCTGGTCTCCAGAGTCCTTGTCCAACAATTAAACCACTACACCGCGTGGCTCTGCATTACAGGTGGATAGACTCAATGAAGGAAAGAAACCACTGCCCTAACTTTGCAAGATCTGAGCAGGGCTGTCTGTCAATGACAGGATGATGTGAAGGTCTGTCATTCATGGAGTCATCATAAGTTGAAGTCGACAGCAACTAACAACAACAAACCAGGGTAACTAGAAAAGTTAAGTATATGATGTGTCCCCTCCTTCTCACTTTTGTAATAGTTCGTATGGAAGAAATGTCAAATGACACTCGGAACAGCAGTGAGCAATTGGGGCCCTTCAGATGTTGGACAGCATCTTCCATCAGTTCCAGTCAGCACATTCAGTTCTGGCGAATTCTATCCAACACTGTCAGTTAAATTCATTGCGGAAACCAGGTCCACAAGGATTTTTGTCTTTCTGTTAGCTCACCTACTTAGCACATCCTTTTAGGTTAAGCCAGAGAATCTAAAAGAAAATTGATAGCTATTTTAATTGGCTATTTTTGAGGGAAAGGAAATGGGGCTATTTGAGATTTGCATTCCTTTAAGGCTGTGATTCCCAAACTTTGGTTCTCTAGATGTTTTGTACTTAAGCTCCCAGAATTCCTGACTCTTGCCAATCTGTCTGGGGCTTCTGGAAGTTGAAGTCCAAAACAGCAGGAGGACCCAATTTGGGAACCACAGCTTAGTTTAAGGGAAATAAATTTAATGATACGACTGACGTATGGTGAACTGGAAGTCATAGTTGGATGGTCAGTGTAAAGAAAAGTAGAAATCTGGATGTTAGGCTGCATCTGCACTGCAGAAATAATCCAGTCTGATATCACTTTAACTGCCATGGCTCAATGATGTGGAATTCTGGGAACTGTAGTTCATTGTGACATGAGAGCTCTGAGAAGGCTAAATATCTCACAAAACTACAGTTCCCAACATTCCATAGCATTGAACCATGGCAGTTATTGTATTGGATTATTTCTGCAGTGTGGATGCAGCCTAAATGAGTGCTTCTGTGATGAGGATTCCCAGGTTTTCAAACACAGCTTTCTTTGCAGAGCCATTAAGTGGAAATCTGTCTATCTGGACAGATACAGAAACTTATCTGTGTAATGGATCTTAAAATAGAATACTTGCTGTCCTTGCTTTTGTGATCATATTATTGATTTGTGGTGATTTCTCTTCAGCATCTTACTTGCAAATTGAGCCCTTTCAAGAGGAAAGTGGGCTTTCATGACATTATGGTTGTGAAAATTTCCACTCATTGATTGTGGATCCTAGACTGGCCATTAACTACTGTTAATGTTACAGGTAGCAATTTAATAATAATAATAATAATAATAATAATAATAATAATAATAATAATATATTTATATTTCCCGCCTCTCCCTATGGATCGAGGCGGGATTACACAATTAAATGAATACAATATGCAAAATACAAACAATAAAATAGTGAAATCAAACAACAGTAATACATTATAAAGCATATAATATAATATAATATAATAAAATAAATTAAAATAAAATAAAATTTAAGCATGGTTAATGGATGAATTCCTCCTCTTGGTCTATTTTTGATCTCTTAAATGCTGTTAAGATAGGCCACCTTAATGGGCCTCCCATCAGGTAAAGAAGTAGTGGCCCACCTGCCCTAGATTGTTTTTCTGAAGAGGTCAGGAGCCTTTGAATCTTCTGATGTTTTGGCCATACAATTGGCCACAATGGCCTTGGACTTCTGGGAAATGAAGTCCAAAACATTTGGAAGGACAAAATCTCCTCCATCTACCCCACTCCACCCCCCCCTGGCCATTTATTGCAACTGGTGGCATCTTTCCAAGGTTTCAGGTAAAAACCTTAAATGGATTGAACTTGGTACTTGTGCATGAATGGCATCTGCTCTTTCAGTGAATTATATGTAGTCTTTTCTTCCCCCTCTGGAGTACCAGTCCTGCAACAGGGCTGCAGCAAGCAATTTGAGTGAAATATGCTCATAGTTGTTTGTACACCAGCAGCCTTACTATTGTGACTGTTGTCGACATACAGTGCTAGCCTGTACATACTTACTTAGTAGTAAGATGCAGTACTTTCATTGCTTCTTACTCCAAGGAAAAATCCATAAGGCTGTACTCTTGGAAATACATTACTAGAGGAAGTTTACATCAAGCAGAGGAAGGAGATAAAGATGTTGTCAGTTAATTAGGCCTAATTATGAAGGGGAATTGTTATTTAATTAGAAGGAGGTTCTGGTAAGTGGGATAACATTTTTGAAGAAAGATGGTTTAAAAAAAACACCTTTTTTTTGTTGTGTGCCTTCAAGTCTTTTCTAACTTAGGGCAACTGTAAGGCAAACCTATCATGGGGTTTTCTGAGGCTGAGAGAGTTTGGCTTGCTCAAGGTCACCTGGTGGATTTCTATGGCTGATGGAGAATTGAACCCTGATCTCCATAGTCCTAGTCCTACACTCAGATTACTACACCATGTGGGTCTATTATATACTCTTCTATTTTTGTACTTCCAATAGGCAAATGACAGGCTACTGTTTGAACACATAGTCAGGGCTACATAGACCTGACTTATGGTGACCCTGAGGCAAACCTATCATGGAGTTTTCTTGGCAAGTTCCTATAGAGGTTTTTTTGCCATTGCCATCCTCTGAGGCTGAGAGAGTGTGACTTGCCCAAGGTCACCCAGGAGTTTCCGTGGCTTAGCCGGGATTCAAACCCTGGTTTCCCAGTGTCTTAGTATGATTCTCAAACTACTACACCACATTGGCCTTCATATAATCATAATTATATGCTGATTATATATACCTGGCCATCATAATTGTGCCAGGGAATTAACTTCTTGTTTTCTTATTTGCTACCTTTCGTTACATTGCTTTTGTGCTGCTTCATTTTTGTTTCATTATTGGTAATTGCTTTAATTCTTCTCATTAATATTGTGGGTTGCAAGGTTTTCTTTTTAATTTGTTTTCTATTTCTTATAAATTATCCTGAAGTGTGTGTGTGTTTTTAAATAATTTATCCTGTGAGCCAACATGGTGGTGTGGTTTGAGCATTGTACTTTGACTCTGGAGACCAGGTTTGAATCCCCTCTAAGCTATAGAAACCCACTGGATGACTTTGGGTACGTCACACACTCTCAGCCTCAGAGAACAGCAGAGGTAAACCCCCTCTGAATAAATCTTGCTTGTGATAGACTCACTTTAGGGGTTGCTATTACCTCAGAAACCACTTGAACACATACAATAACAAGTTATCCTGGGAACCTGGCA